TGTTATATGACTGTAAATAATATAAAAAATATTAAAAATTAATTTTAGACAAATTTCTTTACACATTATTCTTTCACAATGCAGTCATTTTGACTGTTTTGGGCAATATAGGTATATACTAAGTTTCAGTCTTTCTAGTGTTAATAAAAATTCTGAATAAATGAAAATCGAGGAATCGGGATGACACAGAGTAAATCCACACGAGTATAATTGGTCTTATCAATGTTTATCATGTATATCAAAGTTAATTTCCCAACGCTTACGTATCGCGCGTGTGTGTATTTGTGCAGCGGTTCAGGCAGCGTCGAAAACCTTGATGGATTCGCTGAACGAGATCTACGAGAGCCAATGGACCGGGCACGATCTTCTGTACGTGCAAGCTCAAAATCTGGACATGCTGTGGCAAGACTTTACTCATAAACTAGCGGACCAAGTTCTCGTGCCTCTCAACACATATCAAAGCCAATTTCCAGAGATGAGGGTACGTTCACGATCGTACGCAGTACATAGTTTTGGTAAATGCATAGCTACTCAGCCAAAATTCTCGACCTGCATTCTACAAGTACTCATGTAAAAATAAAATTTTCATTATCCAAGCTGTCGACGACGACTGTCGATCCGTATCGCATTTACTTTTTACTTACCGCTGTTTTACATCAGAATGGTTGCGAGATCCCTATTCATGTCCCCTCGAATGAAATGTTTGTAGGTGCGCCGCCGTCGCGCAGTACAGTATACGAATAGTATAAAATAACTTGTATATTGCAGAAAAAGATCGACAAACGTGGACGGAAGCTGGTAGATTACGACAGCCAAAGACACAATTTCCAGTCGCTGCAGTGCAATCCTAGGAAACGAGACGAACTGAAAGTTTCTAAAGGAAAAGAGATGCTGGAGGAGGCTAAGCGTACATACGAGCAACTGAATTCGGAATTGCACGATGAGCTGCCCGCCTTATATGACTCGCGCGTTCTTTTCCTCGTTACCAATTTGCAAACGCTATTCGCCGCTGAACAAGTGTTTCACAGCGAGAGTGCCAAGGCAGGTGGTTCTCTGTTGAATTTACTACTAATACTCGCATGGAACTGTGCGAAATTCTTGTTTTCATCGATCATTTGCGAATAAGGGGAACGGACGTAGCGATTTGACATTGTTATTTATACGTTCAAGGTTTATTCCGAGTTAGAGGCAATCGTTGATAAATTGGCTAACGAGAGTCAAAGGGGATCGTACACGTTGAAGAAGAACACGGAACCACAGTCTCCAAAATCACCGAACGCCAATTCCGCGTAAGTAAACAACTATTACTGCTATCTTTTTTAAGATTAGACAACAACACCGATCTGAACGTTCGGCGCAATGAAACTTATACACGTTGTTCTACTTGTTCCAGTTTAATAATCAACACGCAGCCGGCGCAGAATAATATATCTCCAGGTAAATATGTTGTCCAGTCACGTGTCTATCGTGAGTTTTTGAAATCGTTTTCTCTGTACTAACATCACTACGAAAAGTAGTTGTGCATGAATATTTCGACGCCACACAAAGACGTTCGGTTACATCGGTCGGTAGTTAAATCGGTGGTGTTTGGTTTCGAGTGAGAGCTTCGTTGCGTGTTACAGTCGTGGATGACGATTCCGCTCCTGCAGTGAGAAACACATCGCCAACTACACAATTAAACGGCAATGCTAACAGCAATGCTAACAGCAATGATAATTCCGTGAATAATCAAGACGTGTCTCCGCAAACCACGGTCGCAGCTACCACCAAGCAGCACAGAGTGGAAGAGCTATACGATATTCCAGTTGGTAAGTATGCCACGTGGGCGTAAATCAGTCAGCTAGTAATCACCTCACCTCGAAAGTCCGACCATCGATCATGAACGCGTTGATACGCCGATCGACGATTGAAACTTATCGTCCTTGTCGAAATTTTGTCTTGTGTCTTCAAACTCGAATCGCTACGATTCGTCGAGACATCCGCATCGATCGCTGATCGATCCGAAACGTCTCGAAAAGTACGTAACAGAGTATGCTGCTGCTGCTGTTGCCTGTCCCTATTATTGTTCGTGCATGGTCTTTGTGGCTGTAAGCCTGTGGATGAAATTCGTATGATTCTGGCTTTCAACGGCGAAACGACGAAAGCTGGAGTCTCTTCATACAGAGCCCGTCGTACACGGGTCCATGACTAATGCAGGCGGATTGAATTATTTTAGAGGTGGAATATGAAAATGGTACCAATTTCTCTGTAGGGGCGACGACCGACAACTTGCCACCAGGGGTATTGTACAGAGTCAAGGCCACTTACAAATACAGACGCGAGGACGCGGATGAGTTGTCATTCGACGTGGGCGATATTATTCGGGTGGTGGAGTACGATGATCCGGAAGAACAGGTTCGCATTTTACATAGAATCTATTTTCATCGTCACGATACGTAGCACGACGTGCACGACGTACGTTTCGTTGCTACACTTGAATGCGACCTAATGCGAATCGTTTCGAACTCATCGTAGGAACAAGGTTGGCTAATGGGCATCAAGGAAGGTACGAACGAGAAGGGTATGTTCCCGGCGAATTTCACGAAACCACTGTGAGGACTCTACCAAATTCGTTCGTTACACTTCGATGCTCACTCACTGCGTAACGACGTCGTATTCTACGCGAAGAATACCCAGTTGCAATCACGTACGTTCAAAGTGAGAATCTCGCGCAGTCATCCGAGATACATTCGATCAGATACGTATGGAAATAACGGATGGAAAAAAGCTAAGATAAGACATGGAAACGGAATAAAAAAAAATAACGCATATATACAACGAGAAGGGGACAAAAAATACACGAAACGGGAAGAAGGGAAGGGGTTGTGCGTGTGAAGTATAGTCATGCTGCTTGAGGATGGACTGCGGAGAACCGGAAGCACCCCAAAGTGCCTTGACCCAGCCACTGTCTGTGCCAACGTTATTCATTGTTTTTAATATACTGGGAATTTATCCTCCCACACACACACACACACACACACACACACACACACACACACACACACGCACGCACACACACACACACGCACGC